GGCGGCAACGCCGGCGGGCCACCGCCGCCAGGCACCCCGGGCTCCCCGCAGCCCCCCGCCCTGCCCCTGCCGTGACAGGCAGCGGAGCTCCTCCGGATCCCACCCGGCGCGTTCGGTGGGGCCCGCGCAGCCTCGCGTGCGGCCGGCAGCCCCCCGGGAGTGCGAGGAGGGGGCGAGCCGGCTCGGTTCCGTGACCCCGGGTGCTCCGAGGGTGGGGCTCTTGCCTGGTTTATGAGACCGGAGGACACAGACCGTCCCTGCGGTGCCGGAGTCACTGGCGCAGGAGACTGAGCTGCCTGCACACACGGCCCGTGGCACGGGCAGTTCTTGTTTGGCATTTTATTCTTCATCCTACTTATTCTCAGGTCATCTGATCAGGAAAACCATATAAGCATGCAGTGATTTTAAAACCACTGATAATCTTTGTCTTCCAATTTGATCAGTAGATAAGAGTTTTTGTCAATAATGATATAGAAGTGTATTGTTTTTTCCCAACAGTTGTATCTTTAGGCCAAAACTGAAGTTTAGATTTATCTTGAGCAGTGGCTGCATTATTGGGTTTCCTAAGTGTAGTGGTGGGCTTGTTTCCCTGTCATGTTTGAAAGTAAATTGTGTTTTTATTGCCCCTCTGCTCAGTACTAAGAGAGTTGAAGTTCTGTTAGAACAGAAATCAAACCAGTCATTTTCATAGTCAGTTATCTTTGTACAACACCCAATAGCTCATTGTCAGAAGTAGTCAAAACACACTTATTTTACTATGTTCTCCAGAATATTCCCAGACAGTTCCTTGGGGTCTGTCCTTGGGATAGATGGCAGAGGCGTCCCCATGCTGCACGCCCTCCCGAGGATGCGCCGAGAGAATCATTTGCTTTTTGTCAACAAAAAGAGCTTAAGAGCAACCAAGCTGCAGGTGTATCACTGTGCTCAGCTATGTGTTTCATGGGTAAACCCAAGGGATGTGGGTCATTACTGCAGAGCAGAGAGCTGCACTGAGATTTTGAACAACCTCTGGCCATCATCCCTGACTTGCAGCACAGACCAGCTCCCTGCAGCGCTGCTGGCCCTGGGGCATTTCACCACTTGCAGTGGTGCTGAGCCAGGCACAAGGCTGAGACCCACCAAAACAGCACGGACAGGTGAGCAGCTCCTACCCCATGCACTGCCCTGTCCCCCAGTCAGGCTGCCAAACCCTTTTGCCATAGACATTTATAAAATGCTCCCCACCCGCACACCCACAGCGCCATTCATCCCCAAAGCAAAAGCGCTGGAAGATGGAGTTTATCCAGCTGGATGGTGCAGGGCTCGCTGGGGGAAGCCTCTGTCCTCTATTACAATGGAGCCCAAGCAAAATGGTCCAGCTGGTCCCTTCGGAGTGCAACTCTCTCTGGTTGCTAGGAGTGGGGATGAGCTCTCTGCCTGGCAGATGGGCCGCATGCCGGAGTGGGAGGGCTGGAATGCCCGCCTACCGTACACCCGGCTCCTTTCAATGCAACGCACGCCCAGCCTGCTGCTGCCCTCCCTGCTCCTGCGTGGTCCCGGGGAGCCCTTCGCTTCCTCCTGCAGCATCCCAGAGCTGGTGAGCCCTGGGCACACGTGGCTGCGTCCCAGCTGATGCCCTTGCATCCCGGGATGCGCAAACGCAGGGGTAAACCTCCCCCTCTCTCCAGGCTGGTTGCCCACAGCTCGAGGGAGGGCTTTTCACCAGGCTGAAGGGACCTTTCTGGGACTGGTTTTGATTGCTGGGACAAAAGCAATCGGAGCAGGCTGAGAGTGGCAAGGAGGTTTACACTGTGCCTCGGGGTCGAGACCTGTTAAACTCAGCCTAACTGGGCAGGAGATGGGTGCCCAGCTGCAGCAAGAAGGGTGCTTTGACCTTTCCTCAGCACTGTTATCAGGACCGAGGGAACTTCGCAGCCTGTAGATTTTAAATTGCCTCCGGGGTTAACTGCACTGGAAAGTGAGTTTTCTGAATCACTGCTAGAGGCCTACCTGCCATTGTTTTGCCAAAATCCCACTGAAATCTGGGAACATTCAGGACCTTGCTCATCTGTTTGCAAGCAGAGGAGAAACTGCCTGCAAAATCAGGTTTTTCTTTGACACTGTCCTGTTGTCCTTCTGTTCCCTGGAGCCTACCAGCAGCAAACAGGGGATGCAGCTCAGCTCCCACGAGACCCCCAGCCTGAGAACCGCCTCTTCTACCTGCTGGTACACAGCCCTCCCTGTCCACCACTGTTTCACATCCAGAAGTGCTCTCAGACCCAGCCTGGGCTGTAAGATCACTTTCTGTTAAAAAGAAATAAAGTGAAGGAAGGTGAACCATGGGTTACAGGAACGGGTGTAGGTGCTGCTGACAAGTAACCTGTTCAGTTCAGACATGTGCTGCGGGGCAGCGGTTCTTTGCACACCATGAGGCGGGGAGCTTTCTGCCTCTGTTTGAAGGCCAGGTACTGCAGGGGATGTTGATCAAAGCTAAAGTAATTCTCTCCTTTGGTGCACTCCCATTCTTCACTGTTTTGCAAAATGCCTGTGGCTGAGCAGTTAATGGAGGCATCTGCTGCACTGGCAGAGTTCACCAACTTTAATTAAAGACATCTAACAATTCTGCAGCTGCATGTGAGAGACCATGGGTACTCACAGGGCTGAAACCAAATATCCTCAGCACTGAAAGCAAGCATCCCCGCTGAGCAGGAAGTGTAGATCTGCAGCCAGACACTTCACATAAAAGTAGAAGCAGAGCCCAAAGATTAAGGATGGACTAGAGCCAGTTTGCAATGTGGGTCGCCAAGACCTCATTGTGTTGGAGAACTGTACAATCTCAGCTCATGCTCACATAGCTTAGAACACTCAGGCTAGCAACAAGTGAGCAGATCTGGGGACGTTCCTTGCCATTAGGGATGGTTCTACCTGGAAAACTTTTTTCACAGATATTTTCTCACTGAGTGAAAATAGTTAGCTGGTTTAAAAAGGCAGGTGGGAAAACTAATCCTGTACCAAGTGGTTATCAAGTTCTCCTCTGCGTGGGGCCGTGTTCTTTCCTTGTTAAATGAAGACACATTTCACTCATGGGCATATTTCTGGTATGTCTGCATCTTTGAGCTGATTGGGGACTTTGCAAGGCTGTTATTTTAACAACACACCAAAAAGGCTCACAGAAGAGGCTGGTGCTTTCTGATCAGATTGCATGTCAGCTGAGGGCTTCGAATCAGGCTGCCGAGCATAGGCCACTGCGCTGTGGGGCTGGGGGCCAGGGACCTGCGGTTGCCCTTTGGCATGCTCTCCCCCTGCCAAGAGCTGAGCAGCGGAGAGGCAGGGACACCTCTGTGCTCCTGCCAGTGGCACGGAGCCTCGCGCCTGCCCTCTCGGAGCTGCGAATACAACCTCTCAGTGGCAGCAATGTCACTGGTGGCTGCCTGGGACGTAAAACAGACAGATCAATGCTGTGCTGCTTTGGTCGATATGAATTTACAAATGAACTTTGTCAGGAGCGACATTACTAGTGAGAACAGCCTCTGTTCGCAGTAATTTCTGTGAGGGGAGACGAGATGGGGAACGGGCACATCAAATGCACTAGAACAGAAGTGCTGCAGGTGAGGAGAGGTGTTTTGGCCACAGGAAAGAAGCTGGTGGGTTTCGATATCCTGAGACCAGCACCTCTCCTACAGAGGAAGGGCATGCCCTCTCCTCCTGCTCCCGCTGCCAGCGGAATTGCCCTTTCCCAGCTCCTCTCCAGCACGAGTGAACACCACAGCACGAGGCACAGGAGAAGGGATGTTAGCCCAGACAGCGCTTTGTGTCCAGAGCTGTCCTGCCAGATGCCATGACAGCCGCCAGCACCAGCCTGTGCTGTTGTGTAACATGTCACGTGGAGTCTGCTCGCGTGGAAGCAGCGCTTCACTTTGGAGCAAATGCTGGGTTGCTCTCAGCTGTGGCACACAAGTAATTTGGGGGAAACAGCAGCTGTTTTACTGGGCCTAGAGTTAGCTCTTTCTCTGGTCCTGGAGAAAAATCCTCCCTAGAACCAGGCACTTTGGTTGGCTTGTGACTTATGAAGGCTTTCCTGCCCACAGTTTTACACCCTTATCCACTAAAGGACAGGGGTAGATAAAAGGCAAAATAAGACTTGTTCAGGAAAAAAGAAGCATGTGTCCTTTTCAGACACAAACTCCTCCACAAACAGGAAAATGATCTAATTCTACCATGTATAGAGCGATGGAGAAAAAGCAAAGAACAAGCACATTTTCTTTTTTCTACTATCCCATATGATACCACATAATGTCATAGGATAATCAAAGCACTTTTATTAAAATAAAAAGCAAAAGTTAAGACACCCAGTGTCCCTGAGAAGGGAACTCAAACCAACCTATCACCACACCAGACTGGAAGATACATTAACTAGACAGAAGAAATGGGAGACTTTGCTCACAAAGCATCAAGCCTGGAGCTAGTCTGGCTCACTGTCCCCATACTTTGCTAGAGATCTGCTGCTCCCTGCCTGCCTGCAGCCACGTTCCTGCCTGCACAGCTTAAGCCATGCGCTTCTCAGCGTACCCTCTGCCATGTGAAAACCCGGTAAGAGCCAGGCCATGTTTCAGTCTGGTCAATTAGAGCATGCTGAGCCCCAAGACCTGGTACCTATAGGCAGGCAAAATAAAGTGAGTGATGGCAACACATATCCACACTTAAGAGATGCCAGAAGATGTTTCTGCCTGGACAAAGCCAGGTGGGGATAATGATAATGGAAGATGGAGTATGGATGCAGAAGGTCAGTTGTGAGCCAACACCATAGGGCAGTTAGTCAGGTCAAGGTATCTGTGGCTTTTCTGTCATTTATTAGAATCTTTGCAGCAGGGAGGAGGGACGGTACCAGCCCTGTCCCTTGCTCTCTGCCCAAACCTGCTCTCTCTAACTCATTTGACTTTACCTCTGACAGGGGCTGCACCCCTTGTGCCATCTCTTCCCCAGCAGCAGGAAGGGAGCAGGCTCCAGCTGGCTGTCTCTGGGAGAGCCAGTGGTGCTGGGCTGCACAGGAGAGACCAGAACAATCTGGGAAACAGATTTAAGGCAGGAGCTGGCAGATCCAGCCAGTCTTGGGTGAACTGTGGTCATCTCTCTCTTACCTCCCACCATGATTCTCTTTGTGGGCTGGGGATGCTGCTCCCTCCCTTCAACAAAGACAGACTGGAAGAGATGTACAGCTGTGACGACCTGACAGCAGAGCAAAATGAGACGGGCCTTTACACAGCAGCGTGCAGAGAAGGTGGGTGAGGCTGGTGCTGAGAAGGAAGGGTGGGTGATGGCAGTGGTTATCTGCAGCAAGACGGGGCTTGAGATAATCATCGGACAAAGTTATTTTCTGCAAAGGCCCAGGAAGGTCAGTGACATTGTTTACGAGCCTGTAGCACTTTTGATTGGAGAAGACGGTGCAATTACAGCACCTGTTTCATAAGATCAGCTTCCACTGACCATATATAACAGGCACTGACAAAATCACAGCTTGTTGTTTGGCCGGCTGAGGTAGGACATCCACTCTTTGAGGGGGGGGTTCCCCATAGCTACCAGCTTTTTCAGAAAGGCACTGGGCTTTAGCCCAGGAACATCAGGGTGGGCCTCCGAGTATTTCTGCAGTTTAGCCAGAACACGAGGGAGCCCAACGGTGGAAGCATAGAACATGGGGCCACCCCTGTGCTTTGGCCACCCATAGCCATTGATATAAATTACATCCAGGTGCTCTGGGCCTGATGCTATTCCCTCAGCCAGGATGTCAAACCCTTCATTGATGAGGGAAAACAAACACCGCTCCAGGATTTCCTCTTGGTCTATAAAGTGGGTCTTGATGCGATGGGTGTCTCTGTACTGGGACAGAAAGTTGTGAAGCCATGGATCTGGCTTGGCTGTCCTACCCCCAGCCTTCTCGTACTGATACCAGCCTTTTCCCGTTTTCTGGCCAAACCTGCCATTCTCACACAGAAGATCAGGCAGGGGGCTGTAGCGATGGCCATGTCGCTGGCGGGCAGGTGTTCCTGGAGGTAGTGAGGGCCCAGTGAGGCCCTGGCCCTTTCGAGACCTCCAGCCTACATCCAGCCCAGCAAGATCAGACATTCGGAAAGGTCCTATCTTAAACCCAAAATCTTCAATAACCTGATCTACTGCTTCTGGTCTGCTTCCTTCCTCTAAAAGGAAAACTGCCTGCTGCACATATGGAAACATCATTCGATTCCCAACAAACCCAAAACAATTCCCTACCACCACGCCAACTTTTTTCAGGACTTTGGCTAGCTGCATAGCAGTGGCAATGGTGGTAGGGGATGTGTGATGGCCATAGATTATTTCTAGTAGCCTCATCACATGAGCAGGGGAGAAGAAGTGTGTGCCAATGACCTGCTGTGGGCGGCTCGTGGCAGAAGCTATTTCATTGATGTTCAGGGCTGATGTGTTTGTACACAGAAAGGCCCCTGGCTTGCAGATTCTCGATAGCTTGTGGAATATTTCCTTCTTCAGTGCCATGTTCTCAAACACAGCCTCAATGACTAGATCTACATCATTCAACACATCAAAGTCCACAGTGAACTGGAGACGTGTAGGGTTATGGAAATCCAGGGTTTGGGCACCCTGCTCCATTTTCATAGCCTCACGTTCCAAAAGGAACATCACAGCTTTTCTTCCCGTGTTCAGATACTCCAGATCTTGCTCCAGGGCTACCACAGGTATGTTGGCCTTAACCAGAGAAGTCACAATGCCTCGGCCCATTGTTCCCAGCCCTAGGGATAAAAGTGAGACAGAATCAGAGACTATGAATAAAAAATGTCACAATTAATCACTTGACAGTAGTATTCCCTTTGTATCTCCAGGATAAAAAGTGGAAGCCTATGAAAAATGAGTGGTGGACAGATAGAAAAAAAGAATTGAAGACTGGGAAAAAGGAAAGTAAGTGCTCTCTTTCAGTGATCCTAAATGTTTGAAAAACAGCAACATAAAGACAAGTTTATGTCCTCTCAAGCTTACAAAATATCAGCAGGATTCACTCCAGTGTGCACAGATCATGTGATTCGTCTTCTCCCTGCAAAGTTTTATACCTATGGAAACCAGCATCACTTCAGAGTTAGAACCTGGGGATCCAAGACAAGAGATCTGAGTTTCAGCTTCAACCCTGTTAGCAACTTCTAGAAGGCAGTTTCACAAGCAAGCTTCACCCTGAGCATATCAGTGGTCCTCTGTTCCTGTGAGAGGTCCTTTATAGGCACTCAGAGAATATTATTGTAAGCAAATATTCACCAGCAAAGCTAAGACAATTGGTTTCTTCCTCCTCCTCCCAAGCTTCCTCTTTGTCTCCCTCCTCTTCTCCCTCTGCACTTCATTGCGTAATCTTTTGAAGCAAAGAAAATTCAGCTGCTATTTTCTGTAAAGACTCTCGGACACTGATACGCTCTAAACTTTGATTCTAATGTCTTGTATGTCTTTCATTGACAGGTCAAAGGGAATGGAACTAACACGGCATTCTTAATACAGATTTCAACATCTTCTGCCTCTTTTTTTAATCACTCTGGAACATCAGTAGCCTTTTGCTTGCTGTTTGCACTTTGTAAAAGGCATCTCTGCCCACTGGGAATTCTCCATATCCTCCAACACAGGCCATTCCTAGCTTCTGAAAATTCCTGAAGACACAGTCTTCCTTGTCCAACCACACCATTAAAGTGCTTGCCCGGAATTCCTGTAACTGAGCATCCATTCAAGCTGTATTTTTTTTTTCCAAGATCCATAAATGCACTATTACCAGCTCATACCCCCAGGAATACTAGTGTAGAGATTACTGGCTTGATCCCTTCCCTCCTTCTGAGCCCTTTCACCAGCTCTGCCCTCTATTACATTAAATGAAGCCACATGCTTACACTTTTCCTGTGATACACAACCCACACTATTTATCCTGCTCTCCCATGATGGAGGCTTTTCCGACTAAGTTAATGCAAACTAGTAAGAGAAGTTCAGCACAATTTATGTGCTTTAGAAGTGTGAAGCATCTGAATGGGAGGATTATTAATATCCTAAATAAACAACCAAAGTACAGGTTTGTTATAATTCTGTAAAAATGATTTTTTTAATCCTGGGTTTACAAATGAAAGTCAGCTATACAAATAAACAGAAACAAGGGGATTAAAAAATTTGTCTAAAGCAGCTTTGTAAAAAAGAGCTGAAATGATGTCATCATTTAAACAAATTCCAACAACCAAGGTCAAACAAGCTAGTATGTTTTTTCTGCAAGCTACACACCCTTGGTTTAGTTCTGTCCACTCAGCTTGTGTACACACAAGACACTTAAAACACTTCCAGCTTGGCCACAAGTAGATAGTTTTTACAGACATCACTATATGGCAGCCTGCTTATAAACCATTATACTCCCAAGCAAATGCTACAGTTCCTTTCTAGGAAATTACATTTGCTACTTCATAATCAAGTACTACTAAAAACTAATTTGAAAATAAAGCCAGAATAACATGTATCAGTTCTTAGTATTTCAGTGCCCATGGTTTGCTGACTGTAAAAAACCCAAACACAAATAGCTCCTTCCACTGTGATCAGTATGCAGAGCCTTGGATGTGGTAGCAAATACAGTTAGAGACAGTTTTTTACCTGTCTGTGGTGAGCTGCACAAACTGCTTTCTTCTTGGACAGTGCAGGAGGGTAACTCACCACTTCATGCATACCCACCAAGTCCAGCCCCATCTTTAAGGTTCTCTTTAGACATCGAGCTAAAGTGTTTGCAGTTCAACATGGCTCCCTCTTGAAGTCTCTTTCTTTCTAGGGTGGAGACCTGGGGTTTCTCCCTAGAATTTCCAAGCTCTACTAAAGAAACTGAATGCACACATCTTGGGCCTTATTAACTCCTGTTCCTCTCAGCTTCAGTCTCATGACTGAAATCTTGGCAGTTCTCTCACAATATGAACACGCAGCTTCTTCCTAAATCAAAACCTCTTCCATGAGCAGAGGTTCTCCAGCCTTCTGTTCAAGGGAATTTCTGCAACGGTGTTAGCCGATTCCCACATTTTCTTTCATTCACACATGTAGTATGAATACTCCCCATGTAAGTTTAGCTGTCCCATGACAGACAGGCATATGTGCGTATGGTACTTTACTTTCTTGGCCATGGGAATAGGTTTATAGATAAGATATGAGCTTGCCAAGCTTGTTTCTGACCTAGAAAAGCTGTCTCTCAACTTACTACATAACTCTTCAGTGGCCTGTATGAAATTATGTTTAATGAAGCTGGCAGAGAGAGTAATGAAAGCCCCAAGGGTTTTGTTACATTAGAGCTTGCACAGCATGATTCCCCTGGAAATACTTTCTAAAACTGGACTATAAGGAGAGATTGGCTACCTACCAGGGAAAAAAGCATTTCTGAGGACTCCCCTTTTCAATTTTATAAAGTCAAGTGATCTTGGGGAAGAATATATTAGAGCAGAAAAAAAATTCTAGGGAATCATTGGGCCTTACATGTGCAGAAGCCTACAGATTAAAGAGAAAGGGAAATATTGCATGTTCACACAGGCCAAAACAGAGCTTGGAACTACTCCAGAATTTCTACTGTGTGTTCCATTCTCTTCCTCAGTAGTGCTCTCAATTCCCCCAAACCACAAAAAAACCCCTGTACTGCAGGGGACAGTTTTCAGAGCTGTTACCATCTTTCATGCCCAAGGCACATCTTTCAAAAGAAGGCTGAAATCTGCTTCAGGAAAAAAAACAACAGTGTCTAGCCATCTTGCTTCTGGTCTTTTGTTGTGAAATGTAGCTTTGACATATAAATAAAGCTACACTTGAACCCATGTAATTTCAGGCCAAATATGGATATGACAAATCCATTTGCTGGGCAAGCTGAGTGAATAATGACTGTTAATTACTGATCTGTCACAAGGTACTTAGAATATGAAAAATCATGCAAAATTAATTGAAGGACTTTAAAAACAAATTTCAAAAGAAATGAACTCAAATTATGTACAAAGCAACTCATGTAGAGTCATATAGACTAGATAAATACAGATCAGTGGAAAATATTCTGAACTATTTGGACTTTAAAATGCCAGGCAATGGAAGTAATACTTTATAGATTGGTAAAAATATGTGAAGACTGTTCCAGTTTCCCTGTTAAAAACAACAAAAGAAAAACTCTTTTTCTGGATGACAAGGAAGCAGAAAAAGTGGAAAGAGATGGGAGCCAATAGGTCAAAATTCAACAGGTGACTGCATGTGGCTGAAGACAGTCAAGGCCAGTGAGGCCAAGAGCAGGAGGGATCCTACATAGCTGGGTGTTATCTGCTTATCAGTCTTTCAGTGAGCAAACTGCAGACAAAGGCAGCTGATGGGAAGCCAGCACTGCCACAGGAATGGTTGCCAGTTCATCAGCAATGCTATCAAGCATGCCTACAAAAATGATAGAACATTTCCTGCTAATATTGGACAGACGGGGGACCCACAAAGCAAAGCTCCCCTAGGATTCCTGGCACTGCTTCCACACCATAAAGGTCCTTTGTGCCTATGGAAAAGGTACTGAAGGAGGAGAAAGTCAATGTGATCTTCTCTGTTGCTTTCCATTGTGCAGCATGGAAGCACCAGCATAATGCAACATGGCTTTAGTATGTGAAACAGCACAGCACTGCCTACTGGAAAATGGAGTCTGCATGATTTCTGACCATCCAAAATGGGTGCAACATCTTGCTCTGACCGCCCTCCTCTCTGCCGTGAAAATAGAGACCCTGGATCACCTAGGCAGACTCAATACTTACATAGATGAGCAGCACTACTTTAAAAGGTGTTGGTCCCTCAAAAATCATCCCTAAAAATTTGATTTCTGGTGCTGCAATGTACTTAAGATTAGGAATGTGAAATTATGAGATACTGTACGGCATGGTACTGGCTGGAGAATGACTTTTTGTTACAGCAGCCTGAAAGAAAAACTACAATTGTGTTGGCATGTTCTACACCTGTCTCTAACAGACTTGCAATTTCACTGATATTAAAAGGCAAAATAGGAGGAAAACCTTCCACAAGAAGGAGAAAAAACACAGTAGGATGGCAGAAAGAAGTGATGGAAAGCAGTGACACTTAATGTGGGATTCAGAGTTTAAAGGTGATCAATAACCTCCAAAATAGGAGATGTCACTTATCAAATGAAGTATAACATGAAGAACTAGCATAAACAAAGCAAGCTGTAACTGTGGGCTATGGAGGCTGTATTGATAGAAACAGTGATTCAGAAAAAGCATCAGAAGTCTTGGTAAGTGTCAAGGCCCTGAGTGGACGGATAAGCTTTAATGACCTGGAGCCTCCACCCACAGACACTGCCCACAGGCCTCAGAGCCCCATTTAAGCTCAAACTCAGGCCTTCAGCTCTTCCTAAGCAATGCTGTAGGAGTTCTGGTGTCTTACTGTGGCTGTATGAGGCTATGAACACTGTTGATCTCAGCTTGGCTTCCCAACTTTACCTCGAACCTGCATCATCATATGAACTTTGCTTGATCATCCATACTTCTAGTAGATCCTGGCTATGACCTCTGGGTCTGCCCGGCTTGCCTTGCTCAGGTACTGTAAATTGATACAGCAGTGGGTTGTGCTGCCATCCTGAGGGAGAAATGGGTTGATAAGAACTTCATGAAGTTCGGAAAGGGGAAGCTCAAAGTCCTGCATCTAGGAACAGTCCTGTGCACCAGTGTATGCTGGGGGCTGACTGGCTGGAAAGCAGCTCTGCAGGAAAGGATCTGGGGGTCCTGGTGGACTCTAAGTTTATTATGAGCAACAATATGGCCTGTGGCAAAGAAGGCTGATGGTATACTGGGCTGCCCTAGGAGGAGCCTTGCTGGCAGGCTGAGGGAGGCAATCCTTCTCTTCTACTTAGCACTGGTGAGACCATACCTGGAGTCCTGTGTCTAGTTCTGGGCTCCCCAGTACAAGAGTGATATGGATCTACTGGAGTGAGTTCACTGAAGGGCCACGAAGGTGATTAAGGGACTGGAGTGTGCCTCATGATGAAAGGCTAGGAGAGCTGTGACTCCAGCCTAGAGGCCTGGGGGGATCTCACCAGTGTATATAAATACCTGAGGGGGAGGTATAAAGAAGATGGAGCCAGACTCTTTTCTGTGGTCCCTGGTGACAGGACCAGAGGCAATGGACAGAAACAAACATGTGAGGTTCCATCGGAACATAAGAAAACACTTTTTTTTACTGTGAGGGTGACTGAGCACTGGCACAGGGTGTGCAGAGAGGTTGTAAAGTCTTCATCCTTGGAGATATTCAAAAGCTGTCTGGACATGGTTCTGGGCAACTGGCTCTAGGTGGCCCTGTTTCAGCAGAGGGACAAGATGACATTCAGAGGTCCCTTCCAGCCTCAAAATTCTGTTGTTCTGTTCCCCTGGGATATGTACTGCCATTGGCTCCCCATCCCTGGGGCACAGCTGCTCCCTGCCAGTAGATAATTAACAGGATGTGTTGAACATGGATAATATGAAAGTTGGCTGTTACCTTGAGCATACTTTGAGCATACTAAGTAGGAGCAAGGAAGGAACATCTTGCTGCCTGGTTTTAGCGTAACTGCTCTTGGAATACTGTTCCCACTTCGGCTATGCATGCTTTATGGAGTGTTGAAAAATTAGGGGAAGTTCAGAGTCCTGGAAATGACCAGAATGTGAAAGATTGTGCTCTGCAGTAGAAGTATCAAAGCACTTTATTTATTCTGCAAAAAGTATGGGTTAACTTCAGCATTGTCCGTAACAGCTACAAAAACACTGAAACCTGGGGGTAGAGGCTGGGGCAATTCAGACCAGAATTCAGAAAGCTGTCTGGAGATGAGATTCAAATACTTAATCCAGTGGATGGGAGATACAGCCCAGCCAGCTCAGCCTGGAAATAAGATACAGATTACGGTTCATCTAGAAACTTTGAAATGGAGATTGCATTTGTCCTTAGAATTCCCTCTAGCTCAGTTACAGTGCCAAAATAAGCAGATCAGATCTAAACAGCCCTTCTGGCTAAACTGTCATTGAGATTGGGACTTTGCAAATGTATTATTCTGGCATGATTTATCAGTATATAGCAAAGAATGCCCATTCTAGACACCTGATCATTCCTACAAAACTTCAACAGAACCTCTTCCTGCCAAAGCCCACGTTGCAGCACTGACCTGCCTGGGGTTACATGTGTTCAGAGTACTGTACTCTTTAAGATGCATGATAAGCTTGGCAGTAATTCATGCCTCTTTACCTGAATGCTGTTAACAGCCATGGATCTTCCTCACAATGTTTGTGGATCAATGTTTTAAAACCACTTTCATTAAAAAAGATGGCATGGTAGCTAATAAAGAGAAGGGAACTTCAAAAAAAAAAAAGTTTCTATGGCCTGAAATGAGCTTTCAGAGAGCTCATATTGCAGAGCACAAGAGGTCTGAGAAGTACTCAGGAAGGAGCAGTGTTGATTCGGTGAGCTTCCTCTGAAAAAGAATGGATGTTTTCCAAGTGCTCCATTACTTGTCTAACCATTTTTTGAGTGCTACTATCGACAGGCAGAGCTGAAAGATGTATTTTTTTTTTAATCTCAGCAGTGCATCAAATGTTTTATTTAAATTGCTCTTATAAAAAATTAATGAAGGCATTATCTTGCTGGGCTACAAAATGGCAGGAGTGGATCCCAGTGAGATGAAATCTTCTTAAAATACAGCTGTCAAAACATTTTTGTATTAATATATCCCTGAGTGACTCTGTGCACATGCACTTGCAGTACAGAACTAGACCAGGAGGAGGAGAATTTAATGCAAACCTGCTTATAACATGGAACAAAGTTAGGACTCGACACAGCAGTATTTAAAAGGGAACAGACTCCTTATGGTCCACAGATGAAGCTGTCTCTGAAGTGAGGGGAAGTTATTGTTCCAGAGAAAGAGGGGGCATCAGGTAACAATCTACTGGCATGTGACTTGCTGTCATCCTTTAACCCCAGCTGGCAACTAAGCCCCACACAGCTGTGTGCTTGCTCCCCCTCCAGTGGGATGGAGGAGGAAATCAGAAGGGTAGAATTGGGTTGAGATAAAGACAGTTTAATAGGTAAAGCAAAAGCCATGCATGCAAGCAAAGCAAAGTAAGGAATTCATTCCATGGGCAGGCAGCGGCTCAGCCATCTCCAGGACAGCCAGGCTCCATCATGTGTAACAGTGACTTGAGAAGACAAACGACATTGCTCCAAACATCCCCCCACTTCCTTCTTCCCCATCTTTCTATGCTGAGCGTGATGCCATATGGTCTGGGGTCAGCTGTCTTGGCTGTGTCCCCTCCCAGCTCCTTGTGCATCCCCGGCCTCCTCACTGGTGGTGGGGGCAAGGAGCAGAAAAGGCCTTGGCTCAGTGTGAGCACTGCTCAGCAATAAGGAAAACATCCCTGAATATTCAACACTGTTTTCAGCACAAATCCAAAACATAGCCTCATATGAGCTGCTATGAATAAAATTAACTATCCCAGCCCAAACCAGCACACCTGCCATCTGAATTTCTGTGCTTACCAATGCAGTAACAACTCCCCTCCTTGCATGGGACCTATGGGTGGGGAGTATCTTTGCCTGTGAAGGATACCAGTGATTTTGGTGAGTGACTGCTAGGGAACCCCACTTCAGTCTTGTGCCATGAGTAAAGCCTCATTACACTCATCCCACTCTCCTTCAGCTCTGCTGTTAGCTGCATGGTCAGCAACCACAACAGCTTTTTGCATTCTCTTACCTATCACAGCTGCTTTGTGGATGGGCTGAGGAGAAGCAGTTTTCCATGAAGCTCCACTTGGTGTTGTCCACTTCTGCACTGCTCTCTCCGCAAAGAAAGCATACTGCAGTGCTTGGGCCTGGCCTGAAGTCAGCAGGATGTTAAACAGCTCTCGCTCCCTCCGGACTCCATCTGCAAAGGGCTGCTCTGTGGCAGCTCTGACTGCCTGGAAGCACAGCTCTGGAGCCAGGCACCCGTGGGCCTGTTTCTTCACCTTTACAATAGCCTCGCTGAGGAATGCTTCCATGTTGGGCAGTTTTGGAACTGGCTTCAGGCTGAGCCTGCGGGGTCCCAATGGCTGGCCTGGAGGTAGAAAAACAGTTACAGAAGAAAGCATCCACATCTGGAAGACTACAGATCTTCACCCCTTTCTACATAGACTGGGAACACAGTCTACCTCTTTTCCTTCCTTATAAGTTCACTGTGTTAGGACTTGCATGGCACAGTGGTCTTGGTCTAGAATGAAAGTATCTGACATTTCTCTTTAGCTTTCTTTTTCGCTCTGACAATTGCAATTTTCCAAGTCCCTTCTCAGACTTCAGAAAAGCAAGGTTTCAATTTCAAAGTAGTAATTGTCTCCTTCCTTTTCTCAGCTACACAGAGTGCCTTGATTTCTCCAGTTTTCTTACTCCCCATTCCAGCTGCCACATTCATATGGCTCCTTCTATAAGCTTCAGTACTAAAGTCGTCCTCCAGTATTGTGTAGTACACAGTGCCCAATCGATTGCTAGGCGGATGCATTTCAATCAGGGTCCTGACCCAGGCATTTATAAGACTGACTGGGAAATATACCCCGACTTCCAATCTTCCCTGACAGCAGGAGTCCCTCTATTCACTTTGGGACTAACCAAGAAGACAGCTCACACAGCATGAGTCGGGGAGCAAATGAATAACAAGGGAAAGTTCATGTTTCTGTGTCAGCAAGGGGTGAATCAAGCAGCCACACAAACACATGAGGCTCATTACAGACAGAGGTTGCTATGGTGATACCTAGAAAGGATTTTAATTGAGAGAAGTTAGTTACATTTCAGATGCCAAAATCCTCTCCATCCTCTTCAGAAGTACAAACCTTGGTGCCTGCTAGGAGATCTCTGATCTGTCCATACTCAGGCTGTTCCTATGGTCTGAATGGCAGTTTGCCTCAGTAAAGATCATGGAGGAACAAGATCAGAAATTTAGGATGTATCCCCTTAATATTCCAACATTTTCACAAAGACCCTTCTGCATCATAGCCACATCCAGATCGTTAACTGTGTAGCAAAGCTACTGTAGTGACCACTGCAGTGCTGTTCCCAGAAGCACCCAGGATGGCCACCAAAGCCCTCTGGTATTTCACTGCCCTAGCTTCTCTTATAGGAGCTCTGCCACAGGAGCACACTTCCTTCAAAGGTGGCATATTGCATCCAGCTCTCCTTTTGCTTCCTGTTGTCTGAGTTAGGAAAGTGCCAGTGCCTCAGCAGAAGACTCAGGAGCAGGAAATCCTACACAGGATGCTGAAGACCAGGAATAACAGTAGCACTGCAATCACAGTTGCCCAAAGAACATGTCCTGACTGTAGATCTTCTTCCAAGACTGAGCAATGTTTAGGAGAAACAGAAATATGAGGTTCCAGGATGAGTTAAGATACTGATTTCCTGAAATAATGGTCTTCTGAGCTCAGGCTTTTTAATTAAGCCTTTTAGAGAACACAAAAAGATGAACATTCAATGTGTAAGTATCTTTCCTCATAATCAGAGTTCATAAAAATAATGTTTTCACCTTGACAGTGAATATAGTTTGCATCTGTCAGTATCACAGGATTTAGTCAGGATAACGTTCCTTTAACTCCTTTGTTTCTCCCCTAAATGGATGTTTTTAACCCAAAAATTCTTTTTATTACAAGAGGAAACCTCAGATGTGATGCTGGAAGGCCACTTAAGACTGGGCAGATCAAGGGATTCATATGACATCTCTGATGGGGAAAGGACTGGTAAAAAAGGAGTATTATCAGGAGCCTTTAAGCTTGGTCTTCAGATAGCAAATGGTACTTGTAAGCACAAATACTGCTGGGAGATGTAAGACAGTTCCTCAGAGTAAAAAAAGAAAAGTGACTCTCCTCAGTGTCCTGTAATAAAACTCTTATTTAGCTGTAAGCTAAATAGGTTTTGCTAAGTATTTCTACAGCATTTCCATGCAGTGTTTTTGCTTCTGCAATGCTAATAAGTATCAAGGGCATATTTATGAGGAGGAAAAAATGATCTGAATCCAAACCTGGGATGAAGAGATCAGTGTGGGGCACCTGCAGCTCAATTTCTGAAATCAAAGCAGCAGGAACACAATGAACAGGATCAGACATCAGTGCGGCAGGGAAAAGCGTCATCCATGCACAGGAGCTAGCACAGATACCTGCATTGTTTTACTAGGGTTTGTAGTCTGGGTGGTACAAAGTCTATAAAATTTCTATCAGCAAAAGCAACATGGAATCATAGAATACCAGGTTGGAAGTGGCCTTGAGGATCATCTTGTCCCACCTTTCTGGCAAAAGCATGGTCTAGACAAGATGGCCCAGCACCCTGTGCAGCTGAATCTTAAAAGTGCCCAATGCTGGGAAATCCACCACTTCCCTGGGGAGATTATTCCACTGGCTGATTGTTCTCATCGTGAAAAATTTTCTTCCTGTGTCCAATCGGAATCTCCCCAGGAGTAACTTGTACGCATTACCCCTTGCGTTTTCCATGTGACTCCTTGTAATAATAGAGTCTCCATCTTCTTTGTAGCCACCCTTTGAAGTGGAATGTGGTGATAGTCTCCCCTAAGCCTTCTCTTCTCAATGCTGAACAAACTCAATTCTCTCAGCCTTTCCTCACATGGCAAGCTGCCCAGGCCTTTGATCATCTTTGTGGCCCTTCTCTGGACCCTCTCCAGCCTGTCCACATCTTTTTTGTATAGTGTGTATAACCTGTAAGCATGCAGTACGAAATGCAAGAGGCAGGGCTAGCCTAATGGTTTTCCTGGTGCAGGGAACTACTTGTGAATTTCTGAGAAACAAAGGTGAAACTGGACCCCTACTCCTCAGGCTTGAAGTAGACTCAGGCCTGCCAGGGACAAGTCCAGGCTATGTCAGACCTTTCACAAACTCTGGTTGTGTCAAAGGCATGCATTGCTAGACCTTCTGCCTACAGAAGGTGGCAGCCAGAGTCATGAGACCTGGGGAGAGATTAAAATGTCTTGATATTGCACATCTTCCCAGAGATGATGTACTTGCAAGTGTAACTGAAAGCCTTTCTCCAACAGTCTTCACATGAAGCATGAAATTACCTAACAGCAGTATCTGTTACTCCTTTGGGTTTTATGAGACTCAGAAGAAACATGTACTTCCTCAAGTTACTCCTAGTGGCTTACAGTCAGAAACTCGTAACCACCCTTCCACCCAGAGTTTAATACCTGTGGGGCCTAAGCTAGTCTAAATTGAACTGATTTTCCTTGGCTCTTTGGTGCAAGCCACTGATACTTTTGTGCTCTGAGAAGATGATAAATGTCAATCAGCAGATGTGGTGAAAAATCAAGGCGTGATTATATATGAAGGGAGAACTTCAAAGAGACCTGCTGTGGCGAAGAATCAGCAGCCATTTTCTCCTCCAGCTGAGGAAGACTACAGCAGGCCAGCAAGAGGTGGGCAGTACAAGCCACTGCCTGCTACAAGCAATTACAGCAATTCTTCAATTTTGTGATGCCATCAGGTGGACAAATGATGTAATACAGTTTTCAATTAGCACAGTGATTATCAAGTACATTTAATTCTCCATGTCTTCAAGGATTTAGCTCCTGTCTATTCCTTCTAAAAAAAATGCCTTCAAAAGGGAAGATATTTCCTTTTGCCTGAAGAGGTCAGTTTGCTTGAAGGCCAGAAATACATGTTCATCTGCAATATATAATTACTGTTTTTCAATGAAAAATTTAACTTAGAATCAATAATAATGCTTCCATGTATTCCTAAAACCACTTATTCAGAACTGTTTCAGAACTCCTTTTGAAGGTGTTCCTTATTAGGAATAACCCATACAAATGGATGGATGGAGATGCTTTCCCAACATACCATAAAGGTAGCTCTGTCAACTGCATATGGAAACAGTAATTGAGGACCCTTGCTTCAGTAAGGCTAGTCATTTGAGACCAATCCCTTGCCATGAGATACTGCAGCTCCAGCACTGAGAAAGCTTTATAAGAAAATAATTTCCAAATTGATTCTTTGAGACTTATCTTGCAGTGCAGCCTTCCCAAGAATAGAAATTCCATCAATGACAAAACTAGTTATTTAACCAAACTGTTCCGTAAGAAGCCAGCAATTGTTAACCTCATGTTAAAAAAAAAAAATATATAAAAAAAAATTTTGCTTCCTTGCATGCATCTGTCCTGGTTCAGCCAGGATAAAGTTTTCCCCAGCAGAGAGAGAGGGGGAAGGGATCTCCAGCTGGGTTATTCATACCATGCTGATGTCAGGTCCAGGGGCGGAGCCTTTTTACTTTCGCTTCTGGTTTTGGGTTTTGCCATACACGCGGCGGGTTTGCTCCTTGATCATTTAGCGGTATTTCTCTGTATATCTTTTGTCTTGTTCACTGTTATTGCTGTTTATTGTTGTGACCATCGATACTGTTGTTATTCAGATTGTTCTATCACTCTGTTGTATTAAATTTCTTGTTATTTTAGCCGGGGTCTGTGTTTAACTTCCAACCCGACTGGCGCGGGTGGGGGAGGGGCAACGGCAACGGCAACGTGCTCTCTCATCCCAGCAAGGATTAAACCTTGCACAGCATCTCATTGCGATGCAGATGAAATCCTGATGGAAGTCAATGGTCTGTTTCCAAGGGTACAAGGAGGTTAGTAGTGGAAAAAATATCCTGTTTTCTCTCAGGTGGTGCTCCTCATTCTGCACAAGGAATGTTCCTCTTTCTGTGTTAACTCCAGTGAATTTGATTTTTTTATTCCTAGGGTAGGGAAAAAATATCTCTACATCCCTCCCATCTCCACTGGCTATTTTCTTACATAGCAGCTAAAGGATAAGGGACAGAGTCACTTAAAGACTGTATCATTTACAGATCATTAAGTTGGTCTGAGGGTTTACCAGCCCCTTCACTAGAGGGAGAAAGTTATTTCTGATCAGCTGTTATTGATGGTGCAACCAGAATACATGCAATAGCAGCTGTGATCCAAAACTATATATGGAAAGTGAACATATTCCCCAAAAATCACTGAGTGCAACAGCCCAGAGGAACATGTGAGTTTGGACATACAATTATGAAGCAGGAGGACTTGATATGTATCTGTTCTCCAAATCCTCATTTGAATTTCTGCATCTCTCCAGCATCTGAATTTTTCACTTCAGAAAACAGAAAACAAATTCTGCAATTAATTCTAATATGGATGCCAAAACTCAATAAATGAAGCACATAAATTTGTGCAAACTAGTGGGCTTTGTTCTGGCTCTTTCCAGCCTTGAAACATCACCAATTCTTTCTTGGCATTGCTACCATTCTTTCCTCACCAATCACTTTGTTTGCCAGGCGAACTGCTGCCTCAACGGTGTTTTCTTCCACAACTTCATCAACCAAGCCCAGCTTCAGTGCTTCAGTTGCTGGAATGTGTCTTCCTGTGATAAAAAGAGAAATAAGGTGACTATAGTGGGGCATGATGGGCAATGCATTCTTCTCCATCTGGTCAAAAGAATTGTGTGTAGCTGGCTTCAAATACGAGACATGCTTATTATCATAAAATGCGTTACTAACTACATGCCTCAGAAGCATGTATGTCCCTTTCTAGCCCATTATTAGTGAAAGCAAGATGAATTTCAAGCCAAGCAGCTACACAGGTAAAAGAAATTCATGTTTCTTAGACCAAGATGGTGGTATGACTCCATGTCATATTCTTATATACAAAGCAAGGCCAAGGCACAGTACTTTACCTGTAGTGATCATATCCAGAGCAGCTGGTAGCCCAACCAGTCTGGGTAGTCGTTGAGTGCCTTCAGCACCTGGAAGTAGCCCAATGGTGACCTCTGGTAAACCCATCCGTGCCTAAAATTAGGACAAGTTCAACAACAAATCTGATTAGAAAGAGTGTTTATTACAAACCATACAGAATAGAGGAAAGACAAGCAGAGCTGGTTCACACATTGCTCCTCTAGGAAGCCTCAGAACTTCTACATAGAAACTTCATCCTTGCTTTTTGTCACGTAAGACATTTAAGACAAAAGCCCACTCAACCATTTCAAGAACTTGTGTACAAACATGCAGGAAAAACATCACTTTTCAGTGGATGTATGGATGCCAGCACGGCCCTGGAGGAGAGCTGTGGGGCCAACAGCATGCCCCAGATTGACATGTGTAAACTAATGCTTTCAAGCAGCTGTTACCAAATGCTGGAGTGTGCTCTGACTTAACTGTTACCTACTCATTCTAATTCTTGGAAGTATAGTAAAGCAAAATTGGTACTGAACTCTTCCCTAATCTTTCTTCAAATGTTTCCTTCATATGGCTCTTGATGCACTTGACACTTAGTAGGGTTATATCAGAGAAGTCAGGGGCAGCAGGAAGGGGGTGGGTCTTGTCTTCTCTTAAAAATCTATCCAGATTTTGTTGCCTCATCTAAAAAAAAAATAGTTTGCACATTTCCTATTGAGCTCTTGAGAGATTTTGAGTCACTTTAAGATCGCTACTTATGGCACCCACCTTAAGTAGCATATACGGTGATGCAGAATACCTCTTTATGCTGTTACAGCAACCCACACTGTCATGGAGAAACAGTGATTCACACTGCAAAAGTGAGAGGATGGCCCTATCAGTGAAGAGTGCCTCTATAAAGAGACCAGGTACTGCTAAAAGGTAGATGAGCACTCCTGAATCTTGAAGGAGGGGATTCAATACAAAAATATGGATCACTCCTTAAAAGACTCTTAAAGCTGTCTTTTGGTCAGAGTGCTCCCTGAGGACCCAGAGCTCATGGGGAATCAAACCATAAAAGCTCCATGCTATCTGAGTTTCAACTACCTATTGAAACTAGGCCACCAGCAGAAAGAAATGCAAAATTCACAGGGCTGGGGAAAAAAAACAAAACACCATAAGAGAAAGTCACGCTGCATGAGCCAGTAAGATACAGCTATCTACATCAGAATACAGATAATGACGCTGAGACCTAGAGCAAATTAACACTCAGTTACTGAAGTTTCTATGCAGCCATAGAAACTTCTACTAGTTATAAATCAATTTTATATTTAGAAATGACTTGAAATTAGTTATTTGGTAAGACTTATGAAAGCATGTCAAAGGTGGTGGTGTAGGTGAAGACTGTGCACACAGATTTGTCTCCTGTAGCTATAAAGCCCCCCTCCTCTGGGCAGATGATCCCAGGAAAGGGGTGCTGTTCCACCGTGCCTCAGGAGCAGTGGCCTGCCCTGCCCGTGGCCATATATACATGGCTCCTGATGCCTTCACCAGCCTCTCTAGCTTGCAGCGTGTGTTACCTTCACATGTGCAATCCGATAGTGACAGCCAAGTGCCACCTCCAGGCCTCCTCCCAAGGCAACGCCTTCAATGGCAGCCACCACAGGTTTCTCACTCTTTTCTATGAGAGAGACAATGGGGCCCAAGGCAATACCACGTCTTTTCGGAGAAGAAAATCCTCGAATGTCAGCTCCTGAGTTAGTACAAAGAAATTCAGAGGAATTAGTGGGCAAGGCAGTGGTTGGAACGATCCTTCCCTCTGTGCCACTGAACATATCTGCTCACAGATGATCCAGTCCTTGCTGAGCATGCTGCTCAGGCAGGAATCGACCCCTTTTGGAACCACCTTCAAGAAACCCTGGCTCCTTGAGCCCATTCAGAGAGCTCAGGGGAAGCTTAACTACAAAAACGCATAGTAACTGTAATGTTCATGCAGTTACAAAAAAAAAAAAAAAAAAAAAAAAAAAAAAGTTGCATCTGGAATAGTTAAGTACAAGCAATGTAGAGCTCCACAGAAATCCCCTAGCTTCCCAGGTTTCTACAACTGAAGAAGATCTGTTATTCACCACTGCCCCACACCAGGTATGTTTCATACAGGGATCAGCTGATGGTCCAGAGATTTTATACAAAGCAAGCTATGGAGAGTAAGGAGGCACAGGGGCACTATGGAGATGAGCAGCTGTCCCTCATTTCTGCATAAACATACCAGCTTATTTCTGGTCTGGATGGTCCAGCTTGTCATGTGCCCCATGTCAACTGTGGCACAGCAGAACAGAAAAAGCCCACTGTCTTCTGGCCATTTCCAGCTAAATCAGGACTTTTATCAGCAGTGTTACAGGCAGAGAATGTTCAGACATGGTGGGTAGAGAGAGTTTCCTCTTTTTCTTGGGCTGTGTTTGATTAAAAATGTCTTACCTGCACTGAATTTCCCATTTTCTCCACAAATCATAATAGCTTTCACTGAAGGATCCGTATCTGCTCTCTTCAGTCCATCCTCTAATGCCTGGAGAACTGTCAAACTGAAATAAATTAGAGATTCAGTGAGTAACAATCAACTGCATTACCCTTCCAAGAGGTCAATGTTATAAACACTAAGTGACCCAGTGAAAATGAGCAGTATGTCCAAGCAGGTCTCCTCCCTAGCCTGTCTTCTGCCACAGCCTCTCTGGGTGAATCCTTCTGTTTGTCCCCCCCTTACATCAAGGGCAAGTGCCAAAATTCAGCAAGCTGACGACTGTTGACCTGTCACTCACTTCCTGGAGAGTTGTTTTCTGGCTATGACATTGCTGTTTCCAAAGCAGGCAGCTCAGGGAAATGTTCTTTTGAAAATGTCTTTATGAATTAAACATTCAGATTTTCAGGAAAACAGTTTAGCATAATTTAAAAGTAATTAATGCTAAACCACTGACAGTCTAAGAACTTTTTAGAAGGGAAAGGAGCTCCAAGGATAAAAAGGTATCTTTCAAACACCTGACACAGAGCTGGTGCTGTGCTGAGGATTATAATGCTTTCACCTTGTGAAGATCTGCATATAGGTCCAGACTTAAACTTGTGTGGGATCCTGTCAAAGTGAATTTGGGCCTAAACAACCATATAGCATGTCTTCTTTTTTCTCATCTGAACATACTTCCACAGACACAAGCAGTAAATGTGGCTGGCAAAGAATTAACAAAGAATTTAAAAATGGAACAGTGAAAGTATAAATAGTATTTTTACAAATCAGGTATTTAAAAAATATGACTGTATACACACTTTGCATGTGAAGCTTAAAAGCTGATTTATATATACATGTATGTGAAGCTAATTTATATATACATGTATGTGTACGAATTGACATGGAGGGTACAATCTGTTTGAGAAGTGATGATAAAGAAGATGGTAGGCAAAAAAAGAAGCATTAACACCTAACACTATTAATATAAACATTAACACAAATTGTGTGTGTATATAATTTAGATACTAAAATATATTCACATACACACACTTGTAAGTATATAAAGTTTGTGAGAGACTTTTCTGTGTGCATGTGTGTATACATAGTACATATGTAGATATGCCTTCAATTCAGAAAATCTGAGCCACAAGCAGTTGGAGGCTGGAGGAATACTCGAAGAAGGATCCCACGTGCTTTATAAATATGGCTTCTGTTCCTAGACCTTCTCCAAACCATAAACCCAGCTTCACATGTAAGCTAGATGGCTGATAAAAAGGGAGCAGAGCTCTGTTGATGCCCAGTGGAAAGGAGGAGTGTGAATTCAAAAGAACTGATAGAAAGACCTGATGCACACTCTGTGCATGTTTTTCAGTATATTTGAGGTGTTTCATCTGAAAAGGAAGCTTGTCATAAAGTAGATGAAAAATATATCACTATGTAATGTTTCTAGGTGTTGTCCAGGGTGGCTGATCACAGATTTATGTAAGGCAACAGCTTGCAGCATTGAAGTGGAAATCCACAGACTGAAAAGGAAAACCTGGGGAACCCAAGAAGTTTCCTGCAAGCCAGCTGTGTGAAGTCCTGCCAGCCAAGCTCTACATATTCCTCCTTCAAAATGAAAAATTAAGAGAAGCTATTAGCAAAGTTTATTAATCAAGGTTGTTGGCTGAGGGGGGCTCTCTAGGGAGGTCTCCAGGATCAGCTGCTGCCATGGTACACAGAAGGATCAGTGGGAGCCCTGACACCTGACAAACCAAGACTGAAAGAAGTGTTATTTTTGGAGAGAGAACAGCTGGTTATGTACCAATTGTCTCATCCAGACATCAAAGGCAACTCTGAAGTCTGACTTTAGTAATTGTTCTGAAAGCTGAAACTTAAAATGAGAATAATTTGGCCATGACAAAGGAAAACTATTAGCTGACTTGGTAAAGGTCCTTCCAGCACATATAGTTCCACATAGCAGAATATGAAAGCCTTTACAATTTTAATAAATGGTTTCATATTCTGTGGGAAAAATACATATTAAAAAATTGGGGTTTATCTCACTCCCTTTGGAATATCAAGTGCTGTGGCTGCTGCTATTTGAGGAGGACCCACAGGCTGCACCCAATTCTCGCTGCTCTTAGAGGTCTGGTTTTGCATCAGTGGAGAGCCAGGCCACAGAAATACCAAATTTGCCTAGCAGCTGAAAGATTAAAGGGAAAATCATTAAGAAATGTCATCACATTTTACAAACCATGGTGCAAAGAAGGGGGAAAAATATGTACCAGGATTCTAAACAAATGTTAAATTACTGATTTGAAAAAATTGAATAGAAAAATGCCATGATTCTCTCAGGAACAGACAAGAAGCAATCAAAGCATTTCTGTGTCTGTTGCAGGCATGTGATCAGCAGATGCAAAATGCCCACGTAAAAGGTTTGTCTGCATTAGATGGAAAGGTTCAGGATTTTATGTATGAAATTAGTTACAAGCCCTTAGCACTTACAACAACATACTCCTACCAAAAGAAAAATTAGTCATCAAGGCTGCCACAAAATAACAGTTCAATACCTACATGACCTGTATTAACCCAACAGAACTATTTTTGCCAGAGAGTAACTTCACCTTGTACTTGCATAAATATGTCTTCTCTCTCCATACAACTTTTTCCCAGTGGAAATTTTTTTGTGGGACAAAAAGGAAGAAATATCAGACTTTTTTCAGTTTCTTGTTCTCCTAAGATGGAGCAATATGTTTGCCTCAGGATATGTTAACAGTCCAACACACAGGCTGCGTTGCTTTCTAACTCACATATTATAACTGGTACTAAAAGATGTAATTTTTGATGAAAGCATCATAGTAAAACATATGACAGTAAAACTACAAAAATACTCAAGAGTACAACTTCAAACAGCTAGAGCATTAAAGAAACAAAAAGTCACTATAATTTGCATAAGTATTTCATTACTGTGACAGTGTCATTCATTTAACAGTAACAGTGCAAAAATTCACTCCATGCATTCCAGACAATGCTTCAACCCATGCCATGTAGTCAGTTCCACCATATATACTATTTTGAAAGCAAGAAAAGTGATTCTGCCAAGATGATTGAGTGTTAAGGGGTTTAGAAACACCACAGGTGCTGTTAAAGAACATGTGCACACCAGGGTAAGAGAATGTTCTTGCAGGTGACCACATGAGGTTATTTTTATTTTGCATAAAACTCATTGCATTGATGATGGGCTGGATTTGTAACAAGGTTTTATTATTTACCTTAATAATTTCAGATTTTAGCTAGGGATTGTGAACTTCTTTCATTTAAAAAAACCTCAAAAAGTAATTTAAGGGAATCCTGGAAATTTACTTCATCATCTTTAAAGAAGTGAGACTCAATTCCAGCAATAGAAAATGCTGTTTATGGAAAATATGCAGGTCTAGGCCTTTCCCCTTGCACTTCCCCCAACATCCACACAATCACTGCATTGGGGATCTTGCTATGTACATCCATACACATTCTTTTTAGCATCCCTTATACACCTGCTGTCTGTGAATTCGCCTAATCCCTTTCTAATTCTGCTGATCCATCTGCCTCCACAGGCTCCTGTGGCAGCAACCTCTGTATTATTTGTTTTAAAACAATTTCCTACTAGTTTAATTAAATGCCCCTAGTTCAACTGTTGCAGGATTTGATAAAGAGTTATGCCTTTAATTTATTGATTTTATGATTTTGTAAGCCGTGATCTTATTCTCCCATAGCCTTTTCCTCTCCAAACTGATGACACTTATCTTTTTCAGACTGCTTTCTTAATGCAATGCACCATCCCTTGGATTATTTTGGTTGTCCCTTTCTGGATCGTCCCTATATCCTTCTGCAAATGCAAAATCCAAAACTACCCAAACCAAATAAGATGTTTTATACCGCAGAAAAGGGATGCCCTCTGCTCTGTTCTCAACATACACCCTGACCGTATTTTGTGGGCTCTTTGGGCTGTCCCAGCACATCGAGCTGATAATTTCACAGAACTAGCAAAGGTAAGGATTCCTTTCCTGAGCTGTAACTGCCAGTTTTGAGCTCGGCATCCTGTAAGTTTGTCCCGGGTTATATTTTGTATTTAAAGAACATTTTGCTACTGTTTTTTAGCATGCCTTGGTCCACTCTTTGTATTTTTTTTAGTCTTAATTTCCAGTTTACATCTCTTTTGTCACATTTTATGGGCTTTCTTGTTCTTCTCATTTGAGTAAGTTTAAAAAAAGCAAACTTTTCCCTTAGTCTTCTTAATTTTCTCATCAAGCCATGCAGGGTGTTTACCAGATCCCTTGCTGGCTGAAGCTTACCTTGGCTTCTAATAAACATAAAAAATGAAAAATCGCAAACACCAACGGTCCAGCCTCCACTCCTTTTGCAAGCGTCCTGTCTTTTGGATAGCTTTTTGCAGCATTTATGTTTGAACTACCTGCTGAGTATTTATGTCATTCCCTTCTTGAAATTAAGTATTCATGTGCTGGATTTACCTGGTCTACTCTCTCTTGCCTCAGTGTCAGATCCAGCTGTATAGTAGTTGCTGTCACCCAGCAGCTGATACAGCTTGAATGGAGTCATGCACATAAATTAAGGCCAAACCCAGAATCCCTTCTGTGGGGTTTTAGAACAGTTGTTCTAAAGCAGACACTTAATTGCATTCCAGATTTTTCTCTCTGCATCTCATCCTGAGGTGCTGATCCAGTCCAACACAGGTAATCAATCTCACCCTCTCATCACTGCTACCTATCCTAATCTCCTTTACAGTTTCTGATCCTTACGCTGATTGGGGGTCAAAAGGACAATCACAGCAGCCAGGGAGAGCCATTTCCAATCATGACTGTTATACTTTATATAATCCCACACATACACTCCCATACCCTGCGTCCTACCCTATCATCCCTGGAGCTTTTCTGCACTTGTCAGCTCAAATGTTGAAATACTCTTCCACATCCTTCTTCATTTTCAGTGCTAATAAAGTGTGGTTGGTCCTTCCTCTTGCAAGTCTTGTCCGCCTGTTGCCCAAAACTTCCTGGTTTTTTGCATATCGAAATCCCTTGTCTCCATGCCATGGTCTCATTAATGCAGATCTCTGAATACTAAACTTCTGCAAACCAGGAAAAAAAAACACCAAACAAATAAAATTTGGCACGTGTCACCTCTGCTGGTGGAGAGAAAGATCAGCTTGCAGGGGAGTCTGTGTG